GCGCGCGCGCGCGCGCGCGCTCATTCGGTTTCTTTTTCTCTCGCTAACACAAACTGTCCTAATTCTCTTCTTTGCTCCGATAAAAAAAATAATTTAATTTGCATTTAGTTGAAGAGATGTCGTCGACTTCCTTCTCATTTATCTGACTGATTTTCTTATCTTTTATCCGACTCAGTTTCTCCACATTTGTCCGACCTCATTTATCCGACTGGTTTTCTTCTTATTTATATGACCTCATTTATCCGACTGGTTTTCTTCTTATTTATATGACCTCATTTATCCGACTGGTTTTCTTCTTATTTATATGACCTCATTTATCCAACTGGTTTTCTTCACATTTATCCGACTTCTCATTTATCCGTCTGGTTTTCTCCCCATTTATTCGACCTCATTTATCCGACTGATTTTCTTCTCGTTTATCCGACATCTGATAATTTATCCGACTTATTTTTTTCCCATTATCCGACCTCATTTATCCAGCTGGCTATCTTCTCATTTATCCGACTTCTCTTTTGTCCGACTTCTCATTCTCATTTATCCGACTTGTCATTTATCCGACTGGTTTTCCTGTGTCCTCCCCAGCAATCAACAACTGCGTCGACTCGGCGTGTCGCAACGGAGGTCTGTGTGTTGATGGCGTCAATTCATACACCTGTGATTGTTCTGGAACGGGATTTACGGGCCGTTTTTGTGAAAACAGTATGTATATTATTTTATATTTACTTGTTTCTGGCTTGCTGGCTGTCTGTCTGTCTGTCTGTCTGTCTGCCTGCCTGTCTGTCTGTCTGTCTGTCTGTCTTTCTGTCTGTCTGTCTGTCTGTCTGTCTGTCTGTCTAGTTTTGCTTTGATTTTTTATACGATGATCGAGTCAGTGACTCAAATTTGCAGCATTAACTACCACTGTTGTCACACACACCCCGCCCCTCCCCCAATCAATTATTTTATTATAACCCGTTAGCGGCTTGTCATCTTTAACGCTGAATGTGTTTCTTCACTTCCGCACGGTAGACATTGACGGAGGAATGGAAGAAATCACCTCCTTTAGACTGAAAAGATTTTCATCAACCTATCATACTGTGAACCTACAGAAGTTGTTCCATTTCCCCAATCTATGAGCCTACCACTAAACTTGTTCCGTGGGTGGTTGGCGGGTGTTCTGGTGTGGTTTGCTCCTCTTTCCTATCAAAACATCTATCGTCCTTATCTCCCCCTTCTTCTTTTTTATGGTTGTTACTCTCTTGTAACACCTCTAGTCTTCTGGCGCGCATATGAGCTTATGCAGTTGCGAGCGCCGTTAAACGTCTACTAAAACTAAACTCTAAACTTGTTCCATTTCCCCCCAGATATTGACGACTGTACACTCACCTCGTGTCAGAACGGTGGTGTATGTGTGGACGGTGTCAACTCATTCACCTGTGACTGTTCCGGTACTGGATTCGCTGGAGAAACTTGTGGAAGCAGTACGTATAATACTGTATTATATAAGCCCATATATATATATATATAAATATACATATATATATATATATATCATAATCTTCACACTTAAACCAGGATATCATGAATGCTATTATTATCCATGGATATTTTAGGCTTATATGTATCAAAGTAGCCATCAATCCATATTTTAGGAAGACCACTGAATCATATTCGAACTAAAAAAAGAAAAAGAATATGAATATATATATATGTTATAGCAGCAACAGTTTAACCAAATAGAGAAGGTCTTTTTTTCCATCTTCGTCTCCTTCTACTTAGCTTTTCCAGCGGTTGAACTTTACGTCTTCGGTCTTTCGACTGCAAAAAAAAAAAAAACCTGCCTCTCACCAGTCTCCATGCCTCGGTTGTTTTTTTTTTGGGGGGGGGTGGGGGTGGGGGGAAGTGTTTTACGGTGCTCATGACTGCATAAGGTCATATGAGCACGCAGGACACGGTTTCAGTTGGTAGGAAATTTTGCTCGGGTGGCGACCGAAGCCTGCTCTTATTGATTTAAAAAAGACCTCCAAGGGAAGTTTAACCCGCACAGCTTGCACACGGGCCCTCCGAGATTTTTCGCCCTTGTCCAAGACGGCTAGGCGTAGATCTTTCCTACCTGTAGATCAGGGGTGTGGCTGAAAGACAGCAGTAAGGAGCCAAGGAGTAGCAGTAGAAAAGCTGCAGAAAGAGTCAGGAGCCAAGAGGAAGGAGCAAAGGAGGTGAGGGGTGGGGGCAGAAAGTGGAGACGAAAGCTGACGACAGAACATTGTTAGATTGTTAGAGAGCAGGAAAGGAGGTGAAAGGAGACAATTTTAGAGAACCAATTTGAAGGTAGAGCATAAAAAACTTCAGTTAGAACTACAGTGCTAAAGTGCTGTAATTCTGATTGTCATCAATACTCAAATACAGTCAAACCTGTGTTAGACGGTCACCCATTGTCAAGGAGAAACGTGTCCGTATAAGACAGGTGGCCGTCTTAGGCAGGACTGATCAAGATGAAGAAAACAAACCATTGTTATCTGAGGCCCCAATCGAAAGTGGCTGCATTGTTGTTTTTGTTTTTGGTGGTGGTGGTGGTGGTGGTGGTGGTGGTTTGTATTTTGTTTGTAATTTTTATTTTGTTGCTGATTTTGCACAAGGGTGACAACGAAATGTATGGGACGAGGAAGACCGATTGCCATATTAAAACAAACACATGGGTCGCTACCACTCGGAGAACGAGCGACGCTTCCTTCACAATTTCATGTTGACGTCCATTGTTACTTTGTTACAGACTGGGTAAACGGTGACCACTCATCTCACGTACATTTGTGTATGGGTTCTGGGCGGGGCTTATGGGTTATGAGGGATCACACGCTTACCTCACCAGCAGCTGAAAAATTCTGAAATTATGCAAACTGAGCCCAAAAATGTGAAATTATGCGGTTCTGTTAATTTTAACAAAAAATGATAAAGGAAAACAATCAGAAATTTAATTATGCAAAAAAGTATCAAATTTTGCTTAATTATGCGGGGTGCATAAAACAACGGGAACAGACACTTGGCACGTTTAAAAAGGAGATAACTCTATGATATTTCCACAGCTGATCCTTGTACGGAAACACCGTGCAAAAATGGAGGTCGCTGCTCGGCGCTGGGAAACGGAAACTTTGTGTGCGACTGCCGAGGCACGAGATTCACGGGCACGACCTGCACTGAGCGTGAGTAGTGGTAGAACAGATTCCATCTTGTCTGTCTGTCTGTCCGTCTGTGTGTCTCTCTGTCTGTCTGTTTGTCTGTCTGTTTGCCTGAACAGATTCCATCTTATTTGTCTGTCTGTCTGTTTGTCTGTCTGTCTGTCTGTCTGTTTGCCTGAACAGATTCCATCTTATTTGTCTGTCTGTCTATCTTTTTGTCTGCCTGCCTGTTTGTTTGCCTGTCTGTCTGAATAGATTCCCTCTTATTTTCCTGTCTGTCTCTCTGTTTGTCTGCCTGCCTGCCTGCCTGCCTGCATATCTGTCTGTCTGTCTGTCTGTCTGTCTGTCTGTCTGTCTGTCTGTCTGTCTGCCTGTCTGCCTGTCTGTCTGTCTGCCTGTCTGCCTGTCTGTCTGTCTGTCTGTCTGTCTGTCTGTCTGTCTGTCTGTCTGTCTGCCTGCCTGCCTGCCTATCTGTCTGTCTGTCTGTCTGTCTCTCTGTTTGTTTGTCTGCCTACCTGCCTGCCTATCTGTCTGTCTGTCTGTCTGTCTGTCTATCTGTCTGCCTGCCTGCCTGCCTTACTGTCTGTCTGCCTGCCTGCCTGCGCTGTCTGTCTGTCTGTCTGTCAAGAAAATGGCCGCTTAAGTATGGTGACTTCTATAGTTTGAGAGTCCCTGGAAACTGAATATTTATTTACGTATATTCTTTGCCATTAAACAAAGTTTTTCAGTAAAATTCACTTGGAAATGTGTTTATATATATATATATGGACAATCGAGGTGATGAGCTAAAAAACAAAAACTTGATAAAAATTGACAAACTGAAGGAACAATGCCTCTTTCTTCAATTTTCACTGTATGCTTGAGCGGAAGCCGAGAATGTTACTGAGTGTTCTCAGAGGGTCTGCTGGGGTAATGATAGTTGTAAAGCGCATAGAGCATGCTCTTGAGCGTGGATATGCGCTATATAAATGCAATTATTATTATTATTATTATTATTATTATTATTTTGATGAGCGCCTGATTTCACCCCGTCCTTACGTATAATATACCAAACTTTGTTTTTCGTTTCCACAGCTGATTCGTGTGCTGCAATTCCTTGTCGAAATGGTGGACGCTGCTCGAACCAGTTCAACACTTTTGTGTGCAACTGCTCTGGGACTGGGTATACGGGCATAACCTGTTCTCTGTGTATGTAATAATGGATTCCATCGTAGCTATCTATCTATCTATCTATCTATCTATCTATCTATCTATCTATCTATCTTTCTATTATATCTGTCTGTCTAGCTATCTATCTATGTATATATCTATCTATGTATCTGTGTATCTATGTATCTATCTATCTTTCTTTATCTATCTGTCTGTCTGTCCATCTTCTGAATGTCCGTCCATCTGTCTGTCTGTCTGTCCATCTGTCTGTCCATCTTCTGAATGTCCGTCCATCCGTCTTTCTGTCCATCTGTCTAGCTATCCGTCTGTCTGTCTGTCTGTCTGTCCGCCCATCTGTCTGTCTGTCTATCTGCCTTGGTTTAGTCCTCTTTAGCACACACTCTTCCCTTCCACTGTCGTTCTCCTCAATGATAGCATGCACCTATTCACCCACTGACTCGCGACTATATTATAAAGTTATCCATCGATTCACGTCAAACCCTATCCGTACACCCTGGGGTCATTTTGTACACCCGGGTTGTATACTTTCACATTGTAGAATACTTCTAGTACGAAGATCTCTTTTAAACTTTCAGTATTTCTTAAACAATCATGTCGACAGACTGCTATGCAAAGCGTATGGATCAGATTATTGAGTAAATTTCCTGTTTGGAAAGTGATGGCTCAGAGTTCCCCACGTTGTATGAATACGATAATAAAACACGACGTACAGAAAGGGTTAAGAAAGGGAAGAAAAAAAAACCCAACGAAACTCTACATCACATTGGAACAGAACAAAAACCAAACAAGAAGAGCCCCCCCCCCCAAAAAAAAAACACCAAAAAAAAAACCCAACAACAACAAACAAACAAATAAATAAACAAAAACAACTTACTTACTTACGACCCATTACGCCATCTGGCGTTTAGGGCAGCAACAAAGGATCTCCAGCTCTGTCTGTTTTGGGCCATCTTGGTCAGCGTTCCCCACGAATGATTCCAGGACTTCATTTCAGACTCCACTGTGCGTCTCTAGGTTACTTTGGGTCTGCCCCTTTTGCCACGTCCTTCGGGTGTCCAGTGGAGGGCAGTCTTCACAATAGAGTCTGGTTCTCTTCTCAGAACTTTTCCAATTCATCTCCATCTTCTCCTTTTTATATGGTGGTCATGTCCTCTTGTCTACATTTATGTAACAAAAACAACAGCCCCTCAAAATGAGTGGTTGGCGGGTGCTCTGGTGTGGTTTGCTCCTTCTTTCCTATCAAACATCTATCGTCCTTATCTCCCCTTCTTCTTTTTTATGTTTGTTACTCTCTTGTAACACCTCTAATCTTCTGGCGCTCATATGACCTTATGCAGTTGCGAGTGCCGTAAAACCTCTACTAAAACACTAGAACAACAGCCCCTCAAATTTTGTTGATGTTTTTCTACAGTTGATTTGTGCGCGGCAACAACACCTTGCCAAAATGGAGCCCGCTGTTCCAACGAATTCGGGGGCGGCTATGTGTGCGACTGTACTGGGACTGGATTCAAAGGCACAAACTGCACTCAAAGTACGTAAGAACAGATGCGGTAAATTTTTACTTACGCACTCACTCACAGATGCATTGATTTGAGGGCTGAACTGTCATAGTTTTTGCTGCAGAACACACGTGTGGCCACTAAAACCCTTGCAGATCAATTGTTGTCAAGTATATATCAATCCTAATTGCCAAATCATCAAATCATTGGGAAATGCAGGGAGGCATGCCCCCCCCTGAAACCCCCCATGTTTTTAATTAAGTCAAATATTACTATTTTCAAACATCAATAACTCAATAGCTATTGATTTGCGGCAAAAATGAAGGCCATATTATATATTTGTGTTCTGCATGCAAAATACTACAAGAAGAAAATATGAGATGTGTACAAAAGTATTTTTATATAAGGTGTTGAGCCAAAAAACGAAAATTCAACAAAAATTGCCAAACTGGACGAAAAATGCCTTTTTTAAAAATTTGATTTCATTATTTTGACGAGTTCCTGATTTCACCCCAATGCCACACACATTCATTTATGGTGGCAAAAGACAGCAGTCTTGTAAGTATATAATCCTAGCTGCTTTGAAAGCCCTGTATAGTTTTTGTAAAATGGGGATAAAGGGTGGTTCTTCCTCTTTTAGACCCTACTCTGGCGGCTTGGTTTTGAAAGCGCTGTAGTTTCAAGAATGGTTCGAGAGGATTACAGAGAGAGAGAGAGAGTTGTAGTTATCCATGTAAAAGAACACAAAAGGTGACATGAGGGTTTTCAACGAACATTCTTTCTAGATGAGCTCAAAATGAAGCACACTTTGTTGATGTTTCCCATAAATTTACTACACTATAAAATGTTTTCTCTCTTACAATTCCATTTCAAGAAACAGCTGAATATATCACCAAACCTCCCACGGTATTGGAGCAGAAGAGTCATAGCTTTGTTAAAAACCCATAGCCTTCCATTAAAAAACAATCTCTATCGGTGGAAATTAACAAATTTGCCCTTATGTGAGCCCTTATGTGAGAGGTGTAACTCTCATGAAATTGAAGATGAATTTCACTTTATTTTCTATTGTTCACACTTTGTCCATTAAAGGAAATTTTTAATCCTTCCCAGCCTGACTCGGCCCGTGACAGAAATATGCAATGTTTGATCCATGATAAGAGATACATATGTGTGCACAACCTGTACTTATTCATTATAATGGAAACTTTACTTATCAAATGTGAAGCGTGCTGACAAAATGAGTTACTTCTAGGATTCAAGCCTTAAGGAAATAGATACATCACACGTATAGGTGAAGTTTTTAGAATTTAAAAGTATGAATAAATAAAAGAATACGGCCTCAACAGAAAATCTACAAATTTGACCCAAGTGTCGATTTTTGGCAAATATCTCTCCTTGTTGATTGCGAGAAGTAATTCATTTTGTCAGCATGCCTCACACATGACTGTTTTATGTGAGGTTTGAAAAGGAGATAACTCTATGATGTGTTTCCACAGTTGATACCTGTGCCAATGCTCCTTGCCAAAATGGCGGTCGCTGCTTGAGCCTTGACAACAACTTTCAGTGTGTGTGTACGGGGACTGGGTTCTCAGGCCTGACCTGTTCTCAACGTATGTATAGATAGATTCCTTCTTATCTCTCTCTCTTGTCATATCTATCTATCTATCTATCTATCTATCTATCTGTCTATCTATCTATCTATCTATCTATCTATCTATCTATCTATCTATCTATCTATCTTTCTTTCTCTCTATCTGTCTGTGGGTGGAATTGGAAGGTGCTCCGGTGTGTTTTGCTGTAATTCTTTCCTATCAAACATCTACTGTCCTTATCTTATCTCCCCTTCTTTTGTATGTTTATTACTCTCTTGTATCACCTTCTGGTGCTCATATGACCTTATGCAGTTGTGAGCAACATTCGGAGAAATAGTCACTTCGTTTCTTTATTCCCTAGAGAACATTCTCTTTTTACTTTCCTTCTCGTCAAAGTCATGCGCGCGGCTCTTGTGGTCGAGAGGTTAAAGTGTTTGCCTCTCATTCTTCAATAGGTCTTGGGCTCGAATCCGGATATAGATGGAAAATGTTCTTCTCTAAAATTTACTACTTTCACCTCCTTTCGTGTTCTCAATGTTCTGTCATCTTCTTTTGCCTCCACTTTCTGCCCCCACCCCGTCACATTCTTTGCCCCCTCCTCTGGGCTCCTGACTCTTTCTGCAGCCTTTCTCCTGCTACTCCTTGGCTCCTTCTTACTGCTGTCTTTCAACCACACCTCTGATCTTATGGTAGGTAAGATCTAGCACCTAGCTTTCTCGGATAAGGATGAAAGATATTGGAGGTCCCGTGTGCAAGTTGCGCACTTTAAAGATCCTTTGGTGGTCCAAAATCGATAAGAGTAGGCACTGCATGGCGGCCACCCGGGCAAAATTCAAAATTAATTTCTACTAAACTGAAAATCTTTAATGTATACCGCACGCTCATATGACCTTATGCAGTTGCGAGTGCTGTAAAACACTTACCAAAATGATAAGTTTTATTAAGTTTTGCATGCATCCTTTCATCCACGGATACTGTATTAAGTTATCCATCAATCCTTTCTGTAGGTCAAAATAAAAAACGACGACCTATTTATCGGAATGAAACAAAACCACACAAGATGAGCGCTAACTAAACCAAACTTTCTGTTGATGTTCCCACAGCCGATCCGTGCTCCAGAACGCCTTGCCTGAATCGGGGCAGCTGCACGAACCAAGCGAACGGCGACTTTTTGTGCGACTGCACGGGCACTGGATTCACAGGCACAACCTGTGCCGAGGGTGAGTAATAATAGATTCCATGTCATCTATCTATCTTTTATCTTTATCTGTCTATCTATTGAATTATCTATCTATCTATCTATCTATCTATCTATCTATCTATCTATCTATCTATCTATCTATTTAATTGTCAGTGTATCTATCTATCTATCTATCTATCTATCTATCTATCTATCTGTCTGTCTGTCTGTCTGTCTGTCTGTCTGTCTGTCTGTCTGTCTGTCTGTCTGTCCATTTCTTTGTTCCCTCGAGAACGTTCTCTTCTATTTTCCTTCTCTTTGAAGATGTATTCATCCATCCTTTCATCCGCTGTAAGTTATCATCAGTTAATCCATGTTTTACGTCAAAAAGACAACTTATTCTTCGGCACGAAAGGAAAAACCAAACAAGATCAGAACTGTAAAATTCCCAAACATTGTTGATGTCTCCACAGTTGATTCCTGCGCCAATACACCTTGTCAAAACGGTGCTCGCTGCACGAACCTGGTCAACGGGGGCTTTATGTGTGACTGTACTGGGACCCAATTCACCGGAATAACCTGTGCTCAAAGTACGTTGTAACAGATTCTATTATATCTATTTATAATAATACTACTACTAATGATGAATAGCATTTATACTGTGCATTTCCATTCCATAATCTAAAAAGATGCTCAATGCGCATTACATCGAAAAAGACATCACATCTTTAAAATTCTCACTGCGTTACTTTTCGCCCCATTCTGTGACTTTTAGTCAGCATGCATGACTCAGCAGCTTGCAAGAGTTCCCCGGTTTGGGGTCACGTGGTTATAAGCCCATAATCCATCAATCCATAATTTACGTGGAAAAGACACCCTTATCTTTGGAGTGAAGCAAAAGGCGAACAAAGTGAGACCCAAAATAAACCAAACTTTGTTGATGTCTCCACAGGGGATTTCTGTGGCTTAACACCTTGTCAAAACGGTGCTCGCTGCACGAACGAGCTCAACAACTTTGTGTGTGACTGTGCTGGGACTGGATTCACAGGCACAACCTGTTCTCAAGGTAAGTGGTATCGGTAACAGCTTAAATGACCAGAATTGGGTTGATAGTGCCGCAAAACACCTACTCAATCAATCAATCAGTCAAACAATCGGTAACAAATTTCTTCTTAGCTATCTGTCTTATCTATCTGTCTGTCTGTCTGTTTGTCTGTCTGTCTGTCTGTCTGTCTGTCTGTCTGTCTGTCTGTCTGTCTGTCTGTCTGTGCTTTTCTTTGCTCCTTTGAGAAGACTCATCCGTGGACACTGTATTAACTCATTTGCAATACAGGGATGTAAATCTTCCGGCTGTTTTGCTGTTTTTGTCTGGCTGACTTTTACAAAAGTCTACTATAAACAATGCATATTATATGTGAGGCAGCGTGGTGGAATCAGCTCTTGTCAAAATAATCAAAGTGAAGAAACTGGCATTTTTCCGCAAGTTTGGGAATTTCTATCTAATTTTTTTGGGGGGGCTCAACACCTTTCATGCCCATTAAATAACACATTTATATGTGGATTTTACTGAAAAACGCTGCTTAAAGGCATAATAGATGGACATTTTCAGTGTCCACGGACTCTCAAGCTTTATAAATAACACAACTTAAGTGAGCATTTTCTCACTAATTTTACCTCTGAAAACAAGTGACTCCCACCTCCTTCTTTCGCATTTATCTCAACTTGTATTCAAGATAAATGGATATTTTTTTCATCCAAATAAAGACAAGTGAACAACCTTTAAGATAATACCAATAACTCTACCTGCCCAAAAGTTGACGAGAGCCTGATTCCACCACGCTGCCTCACATATATACTAAATAGAGATTATTTAGTTAGGTGTAATAGAGGGAAAAAATCTAATATAATTTGTGAGGCAGCGTGGTGGAATCAGGCTCTCATCAATTTCGGGGCATGTAGAGTTATTGGTATCATCTTAAAGCTTGTTCATTTGTTTTTATTTGGATGAAAAAAATATCCATTTATCTTGAACACAAGTCGAGATATTTGCAAAAGAAGGAGGTGAGGGTCACCTGTTTTCAGAGGTAAAATTAGTGAGAAAATGGCCGCAAAAGATATGTTATTTCCTTAGCTCTGTGGTGACTGAAAATTGACATTTTTTTGTGCCTTTAATCAACGTTTTTCAGAAAATCTAAACAGAAATGAGTTTTTTAATGGGCATGAAAGGTGTTGAGCCAAAAAACAAAAATTTGATAAAAATTCACAAATCAGTGGAAAAATGCAAGTTTCTTCACTTTGATTATTTTGACGAGAGCCTGATTCCACCACGCTGCCTCACATTTAGCCTAACTGTATTCTTTTTTCAGTCAGTGCGCACACACCATATCAATTTTCCAGCTTTTTTTTCAAAACCTGTATACTTCCCTAGCTATAATATTATTCTGAGCTTTTAGATCTAGACGCATTTTTTTTTTCAGGAGGGCAAAATGAGATGGATGACTACTGTGCAATTCACAAATTCATATATATAAATATCAACAAATTCATATATATAAATATCAACAAATTCATATATATAAATATCAACAAATTCATATATATAAATATCAACAAATTCATATCAACAAATTCATATATATAAATATCAACATATTATTACACACGAAAATTTTCAACATGATTTTTAGAATAGATCTATTTTGTCTATTTATGTATTTTTCAACTTTGGTTCTTATATTATTACACACGAAAATTTTCAACATGATTTTTAGAATAGATCTATTTTGTCTATTTGTGTATTTTTCAACTTTGGTTCTTGTAAGAGGCGATTATGAAACCCAATTTTTCTTGGATGCGAATGAAATTTAAAAATAAAAAATTAATCGTCTTTGGTGAAAATCAAAAAATGTGTTTGCACCTACTCAAATGCACGATAGATCTACATCAAAATGACCCTAAATAAATATAAAACTGGAAAATATTTATAAATTTGCAATTATTTACATGCATTCCACAAAATTTGCACATATGAATCATAGCACTCGAATATTGAAATTGTTGGGTTTTTTTAAATTAAACAAAATCTAAAAAAAGTGAACAAGATAAATTCACAAACAGTGCAAAACACACTTATCTTACATAGGATTTTTCAGAATTGCATTTGAAATAAAACTAAGTATATTTCTGGAGCCGTATTTTTGGGGTAATTTTACCCCACAAAAACAGTGATATTGTGAAAAATTTTGACAATTTAGATCTAGCATTTCTCAATAACAGAGGAATGACAATTTGAGTATTTGTGAGGCTTTGGGGTGAGATCAGGCCCTCGTCAAAATAACGAAATTGAAGAAAACGACATTTTTAGGCCACTTTGTCAATTTTTATCAAATTTTTGTTTTTTAGCTCAATGATCTTTAAATTTACATCCAATTAAAAACACATTTCTGTGTGAATTTCACTGAAACACTTTGATTAAAGGCACAAAAATTGTAAATTTTTAGTTTCCAAGAACTCTCAAACTGTGGAAGGTACCGCCTTGGCAGCCATTTTCTCGCAAGTTTACCTCTGAAACCAGGCTACCATCACCTTTTTTAATTGAAAATATCATGATTTCTATTTATGGGTACATTTTTCGTTTAGATCAAGTGAATAGAATAAATTTTAACATCTTCACTGCTGTGTCGACGTACTTGTATGTACTTGTGTGTGCTCTGAAACTTGTTCACGGGCATTTTCCTCAGCTGATTTATACAATACGTTTTAGCACATAAAGCCACATTGAGTAGTTTCTTACTCATAAAAAGGGGAAGGATATGATGGATTTGTATTGCTACAGTGAAAGGACATTTCATTTTGTCAGTATAAACATAAATGGAAACATCTCAGCAGTAAAGAGGTTAAGATGTTACCAACAACTCCTCTTGCCCAAAAATTGACGAGCGCCTGATTCCACCACGTTGTGACACATTTCACACTTTCACACATAATATCAATCTTCTAAAGAAGAGTCTTACATTTCTTTAGTAAACAATGTAATGATACAATTTGTCTTGTAAAAGTACTAAGACTGGTATGTGGGCTTTATTTTTCGGGCATCGCGAAAAAACAAAGTCGCATAAATTTCGAAATCGTGTTTCAAAACTGAATGAGACTTAGGATTTTTCCTGGAAACACGTGACCCGGAAGTCAACGTTATATTATAACCTTTTTTTTTAACATGGATATGTGGATTGGAATAGTATCTTAGCTAGAATTATAGGTCGGTTCTTGAGCCATCAGGGGTGGCCTACAGTAGTGAAATCACTTTAGCCGCCCTGCTTCCCTCGGCTCGGCGTAGCGAATGAGTTAAGTTATCCGTCAATCCATATTTTACGTAGAGAAGTCAACCTTATCTTCGGAGCAAAACAAAAGCCAAACAAAATTAGCCCAAAATAAATTCTCGATGTCTCCACAGTTGATTCCTGCGCCAATACACCTTGCATAAACGGTGGTCGCTGCACGATCCAGCTCAACGGTGGCTTTTCATGTGACTGTACTGGGACTGGATTCACAGGCTCAACCTGTTCTCAAGGTACGTTGTAACAGATTCTGAAACATGTTGTTCTTTATTCACAGCTGCTTTGAGTTTGAGGTATTATCAACAGTATAGATTGTGAAACGCATAGAGCTTGCTGTTGAGCTCGGATTTGTGCTATACAAATGCTATCTATTATCTATTATTATTATTATTATTATTATTATTATTACTTATTCTTTAATTTCTTTTTGCTAATAAAATATGTAATGGTAATAATAATAATAATAATAATAATAGTAATAATGATGATAATAATAATAATAATAATAATAATAATAATAATAATAGTAATAATGATAATAATTATAATAATAATAATAATAATAATAATAATAATAATATTAATAGTAATAGTAATAATAGTAATGATAATGATAATAATAATAATAATAATAATAATAATAATAATAGTAATAATGATAATGATAATAGTAATAATAATAAAAATAGTAATAATAATAATGATAATAATAGTAATAGTAATAATAATAATAAGGGCATCGTACGTCAAGGAGCACACCACAGTGAAATGGCAAGACAGGAGCAGGAGGAAATGGATGGAAGAAGCTGCAGAAAAGAGAGGCAGCAAAATCGAGCCCTCGACTCACCTTCAGCCTACATCTGCAACAAGTGTGGCCGAGACTGCCATGCTTGATTCGGTTTTTTGAGCCACACCAGAAGATGTTCTATGACCAAAATTGAGTCGATAGTGCTGTAAAACACATGCTCAATCAATCAATCAACTAGAAGATGTTCTAGAAAGGAGTGACAAATGGGCGCTGCCATTGTCTCGTGAGACAGAAGGAGCCAATGACGAATAATAATAATAAGAAACTTGTGTTTACCTGTGTGAAGGACCAACATCACTGCACAAGGGGCATTCCCATAAGCGCTCCGTTCCCTGAAGAAGGACATTTCAAAGTGTATAGATGCTGACGGTTCCAAGCAATGGTTGATTCCATAGCCTTCTGCTCCTCCCGCTAAGTCTTGAACTTCTTGAACTTCTGAAATTATTATATAGTCGACTACTGACGGATGAGTTGATTTCGTTGGGGGAGTGAATAAAGATCAACTCATCTATAGTTTAACCTAACCGTTGGGATCTGCAAAGAAAAAGGAGGTGCTGGGACCCGAGAAAAAGGTCAACATAAACGAAGATCAACAGAAGCGGAGTCGACGGTAAGATTAATAATAATAGTAATATGATAATAAAAATAGTAATCATAATCATAAAATAATAATAATAAAGATAATAATAATGATAATAATAATGATGATAATAGTAATAATTATAATAAAAATGATTTTGATAATAATAATAACGATAATGATAATAATAATAATAATGATATACCAAACTTTGTTGATGTCTCCACAGTTGATTTCTGTGCCCAAACACCTTGTCAAAACGGTGCTCGCTGCACGAACCAGCTCAACGGGGGCTTTACGTGTAACTGTACTGGGACTGGATTCACAGGCTCAACCTGTTCTCAAAGTATGTAGTAACAGACTCTATCTTATCTATCTGTCTGTTTGTTTGGGAGGACTGCAGAAAAGCGACTCTATTTTTAAAAACAGGGAAAAGAGTTCGTCTGGGGAACAGCAACCACGCTAAGCAAATACCTCGTCTTGATGGTATTGATCATGGTATTGGTGCGGCCTGCCGATAATAAAAAAATATGTGTTTATAAACTTAGGCTTTTGAATTTGAATGCTATGTTCTGTCGTAAAAATAAAGAGGGCTCCACCGGATTTTGAGAAAGCTTTTTTAACAGACTGAAAGAGAGGAGTGAACTATCTTGTTATGAACGATCTTTGATTTTATTTGGTCTAGCTGTATTCGATACTGTACCAAGATAAAATGTAGCAAAGAATCAATATAGTGAAATACTACCCTCTGTTCTCTGGTCACTGTCCCCCGGCGCAGCTGTCTGTCTGTCTGTCTGTCAGACTGTCTGTTTGTCTGTCTGTCTGTCTGTACGTGTCTGTTTGTCTGTCTGTCTGTCTGTACGTGCTTCTCTTTGTTCATTTTAGAACATTCTCTTCTACTTTCCTTCTCTGTGAATATATGCACACCCCCTTTCATCCGTAGACACTGGGTTAAGGCCCCATTTACACATACAGTTCATTGATCGACAAACTGTATGATATCGGAAGAATGGCCGGCGGCATCCTGTCAACTTCCTGGTAAAACTGAACGTGGAAATGAAAAATCTTCTTGATATCGAAGGGTTCTCAGTCCAACCACCAGATATTTGCCAGTCAGCTAACTGAAGGCATGACGACGAGGGAGCGGCTTCTTTGATGTTGCCCCAAGCGGAGTTGGAAATGCTTTCGAAAATTTTCCAAAATATTGGTTAAATAAAATTTTTTTAAAAAAGATTTCCGTAATCAGCTACCTAAAATTAGTCACATTCAGGCAGGTAACACAATTTAATGCCGGATTACCAAATTATTTTTTTTTGGTGTGTTTTGTTTGTTTTGTCAAGGACTGACGCTTTAACAAAAAAAAAAAAAAAAACTGTACGTCTAAATGGAACTTCTCTCGTAGACAAACTTTCAGTTTAACGATGACCCAGATCTAGTGTCTGTCGGTTAAACTGTCAGTTTGTTGATTAATGAACTGTACGTGTAAAGGGACCCTAAGTTATCCATCAATCCATAATTTACGTGAAAAAGACAACCTTATCTTTGGAGTGAAGCAAAAGGCGAACAAAGTGAGACCCAAAATAAACCAAATTTTGTTGATTGTCTCCGCAGCTGATTTCTGTGCCAACACACCTTGTCAAAACGGTGCTCGCTGCACAAACCAGTTCAGCAGCTTTTTGTGTGACTGTACTGGGACTGGATTCACAGGCACAACCTGTTCTCAAAGTATGTAGTAACAGATTCCTTCTTACCTGTCTGTCTGTCTGTCTGTCTGTCTGTCTGTCTGTCTGTCTGTCTGTCTGTCTGTCTGTCTGTCTGTCTGTCTGTCTGTCTGTCTGTCTGTCCATCCGTCTGTCTGTCTGTCTGTCTGTCTGTCTGTCTGTCTGTCTGTCTGTCTATCAATCTATTTATCATCTATCTATCTATCTATCTATCTATCTATCTATCTATCTATCTATCTATCTATCTATCTATCTATCTATCTATCTATACTCTCTTCATTTTAGTACTCTTTAGAATACTCTCTTCTAACTTCCCTGTCATCGAAGAAATGCATCCTTTCATCCATAGACACTATATTAAGCTATCCATCAATTCATGTTTCACAAAGAAAAGAAAACAAACATCATGTGGGAACAAACCAAACAAGATCAGCCCAAAATAAACCAAACAAGATCAGCCCAAAATAAACCAAACAAGATCAGCCCAAAACAAACCAAACAAGATCAGCCCAAAAAAAAACCAAACTTTATTGATGTCTCCACAGGGGATTTCTGTGCCACAACACCTTGTCAAAACGGTGCTCGCTGCACGAACCAGTTCAACAGCTTTTTGTGTGACTGTACTGGGACTGGATTCACAGGCACAACCTGTTCTCAACGTATGTAGTAACAGTATCTATCTACCTACCTTCCTATCTACCTACCTACCTACCTAACCACCCACCTTCCTTCTTACCTACCTACCTACCTACCTACCTACCTACCTACCTACCTTCCAACCCACCCACCTTCCTTCTTACCTGCCTGCCTACCTACCTACCTACCTACCTATACCTAATTACCTACCTGTCTCTATCTATCTGTCCATCTATCTATCCATCCATCCATCTGCAAAGGAACGTGAATTCAACATAGCCGTGGGCCTGACCTTTGTGAGGCGGCTTGGTGGAATCAGGCTCTCATCAAAATAATCAAAGGGAACAAAACTGCATTTTTCAGCTGGTTTGTGAATTTTTATCAAATTTTTGGGGGGTTTTTTGGCTCAACATCTTTCATGCCCATTAAAGAACTCATTTCTGTGTGGATTTTTCTGAAAAAAAGTTGATTAAAGGAATAAAAAAGGTAAATTTTCAGTTACCACAGACTCTTAAGCTAAGGAAATAACTAATCTTTGGCGGCCATTTTGTCACTAATTTTACCTCTGAAAACAGGTAACCCCCCACCTCCTTCAATTGCAAATATCTCGACTTGTATTCAAGATAAATGGATACTTTTTTCTGTCTGTCTGTCTGTCTGTCTGTCTGTCTGTCTGTCTGTCTGTCTGTCTGTCTGTCTGTCTGTCTGTCTGTCTGTCTGTGCTTTTCTTTGTTCCTTTGAGAACATTCTCTTCTACTTTCCTTCATATCAAAGATATGCATGCATCCTTTCATCCATGTACACTGTGTTAAGTTATCCATCAATCCATATTTGTGAGGCAGCGTGGTGGAATCAGGATCTCGTCAATTTTTGGGCATGCAGAGTTATTGATATCATCTTAAAGCTTGTTCACTTGTCTTTATTTGGATGAAAAATATATCCATTTATCTTGAATACAAGTCGAGATATTTGTGAATGAAGGAGGAGGGGTTACCTGTTTTCAGAGGTAAAATTAGTGACAAAATGGCCGCCAAAGATTAGTTATTTCCCTAGCTTAAGAGTCCGTGGTGAAAGAAAATTTACATTTTTGTGCCTTTAAACAACGTTTTTTAGAAAAATCCACACAGAAATGAGTTCTTTAGTGGGCATGAAAGGTGTTGAGCCAAAAAACAAAAATTTGATAAAAGTTCCCAAACCTGCAGAAAAAGGCAAGTTTCTTCACTTTAATTTTTTTTACGAGAGCCTGATTCCACTACGCTGCCTCACATTTTACTTTGGAAAGTCAACCTTATCTTGCATGAGAAGAAAGGAAGTAGTGTTGGCCACCAGTTGAAAGTAGTAATTAGAAAGGTTTTGAAAATAGGTATTCCAATGTAAAGCGTGTTGTGCTACTTTTTTTTGGAAATGCGCTATATAAATGTTATATTATTATTATTATTATTATTATTATTATTTATCTTCGGAGCAAAACAAAAGCCAAACGAAATCGTCCCAAAATAAACCAAACTTTGTTTGATGTTTCCACAGTTGATTCCTGCGCCAATACACCTTGCCTAAACGGTGGTCGCTGCACGAACCAGCTCAACGGGGGCTTTGTGTGTGACTGTACTGGGACTCAATTCACAGGCTCAACCTGTTCTCAAAGTACGTAGTAACAGATTCTGAAACATGTAGTTTTCGTGGGTGGTTGGCAGGTTCTCTGGTGTGGTTTGCTCCTTCTTTCCTATCCAACATCTATCGTTCTTATCTCCTCTTCTTCTTTTTTATGTTTGTTACTCTCTTGTAACACCCCTAATCTTCTGGCGCTCATATGACCTTATGCAGTTGCGAGCGCTGTAAAACCTCTACTAAAACTAACTAAACATGTTCTTTATTCAAAACTGTTTTGAGTTTGAGGAATCAACATGTGTACTTCCTTTTTAATTTCTTCTTCCTTACAAGATATAATGTCGACAATAAAATTAATAATGAAATGTGAGGCATCGTGGTGAAATCAGGCGCTCGTCAAAATAGAAAAATGAAAGAAATTGGCTTTTTTCTGCCTTTCTAAATTTCTTTTTTTGGCTCAACATCTTTTATATCCATTTAAAAACACATTCCTGTGTGGATTTTAGTGAAAAACATTGATTAATCGCACAAAAAAATGTCAATTTTTAGTTTCCAGGACTCTCAAGCTATGGAAATTACCCAAACTTTGGCGACCAATTTCTCGCTAATATATCTGAAACCAGGCGACCCTGACCTCCTTCAATTGCAAATATTTCAACTTCTATTCAACATAGATGGATAGTTTGTTAACTTTAAGGAAGGCAAATGAATAGGCCTTGAGATGATACCAATAACTCCATGGCATATCCCCAAAAATTGATGAGCGCCTGATTCCACCATATCGCGACACAAATTATACTGCAGTCGACTACAAATGAGCTGATGTCATTAGGGGAGTGAAAAAAATCGACTCATCCAAATTTTAATTTAACAGTCGGGATCTGTAAAGAAAAAGGGGTGCTGGGAGGTGTGCAAAGAGAGAGTTGCATGCAGTAATCCGTGCGAGAGAACATGAAAGATGAAATAAGGGTTTTCAGTGAGCGTTTATTCAAGATGAGCTCAAAATAAACCAAACTTTGTTGATGTCTCCACAGGGGATTTCTGTG